CCCTTAAATTGGACTCGAAATGGTACTAATTGATATGGAGGTATGATGTTTATTATTGGTAGCTCGCAAAGCATGTATTTTTAAACATGGCTGAGAGGGAGGGCGACAAAATATCGAGGGTGAAAAAGAAAGAGTAGACCCGGCAGGATTTGAACCTGCATAGTGCAAGTTGTCTAAAAGACGAAAGCGTGGCTTTCACAATTAAGCTACGGGCCTGACAAAGAACGGGCTGCCAGTTTAAGTCATGGTGTCTTTTCAGGTTGACTTCTAAACAACTGTTGAGTGAAGTCTGCATGATTATCCTCAAAGTTTTGTAGCTATGCTTTTGAAACAATAGTCCAGATGGAGCACAGTAATGGTCGGATCTGGGTGTGTTTGGCAATAAGGTCACCATAGGGTGGCCACTATGGCGACACCAGATTTGCTCCTTGAACTAAATGATGGGCTACGGAGCGAAAACCAATTGCAATGGCCTCGGGTGCCACAAATTATGTTAAATGCAATATATGAGCTCATATAATGTCCTCACCTTGCCTGTGAGTTTGATTTGGGGGTTGAAGAAAATGGGCGACCGCACCAAGCAGCCTAAGGTTCGTTGCAAGACCGCTCACTGGCAGGAAGGCCGCGAATATTGAACAGCATAACTATCTACCGGAAACAAGGGAAATATGAGTGTTCCTGAGTCTATCACGCCAAGCCGGGACCAGGATTGGCATCTAACACTTTAAGAGATGAGCCGACGGCCGGCTGTGATTTTGAAGTTCGCTCCTATCGGCCTCGAAATTCCTAGGTTGACGCCGTCGCACTAAAGTCATGTTGTTCAAGAGTCCCAATTATTATAAAAAAGCTAAGGAAGCCGAATCGCTCAAGGGGTGGGGTACGGCGAAGGGCAAACGTAAGGCAACTCCGATCAAGCAAAGTCACCCGTCTTTAAAATCGTGCCCCAGATCTCCGGGCGATGATAGATTCTGTAGAAGAGGGTTGAGCTGGGCAAGTTCGTCTTGTATCGGTTTCTCGCCGTTTCGTCTACTTGCTTCAGAATGAACGAGATGATTCGCTATTCGTCATAAACCATCAGTTTGGGTTGGAGATAATCACCGGGTCAAGTTGTAGGCGCTGGCCATGATCTTCTGGTCTGCCTTGGTAAACACGTCCACGTACGCTACACTCCATTTCGAGGGAGGAGAACCTGGATGCCCACTGCCCAGACATGTTTGATGACAGAAGTCCACTTCCACCGGCGATCGCGATCGCTGGCATAAATCCTGATACGCTGATGGCACCCACACTTGGCATTGGCGACGTGCGACCCGGCGTGGCACCGTTTAATGCAAAGTAGTTCGCCACAGATTGTTCGGACATCGGTAACTGTATACTATTCGGTTGAGTCTTCGGTCTCGAGCGGTTTGATTCGAGCTTTCTCGATTCTGAGATGTCCCAGCGATTCAAGAACCTTTCTCTGGAGTAAAACGGTAATTATCATACGCACGGATCCCAGGATAATACGTGTCGGGTAAGCCCACTCACTGGGCGGATTTTACGTTCTTCGTAGCCTCAACTTCGCCGGTGACGGCCTCTTGGGCGCGTGTCGGTCGACTCGCTTCTTCCTTCTCTTTCATGTTGTCCTCCCTTGTAGAATGCCACCTCTCAGAAAGGTAGGGACTGCGTCTGTCGGATTTGGGTGTGGGCAATTGAGTGAGATGGTGGTTGGGTTCGGGAGGGGTGATCTGAGAACCGCGCACCGCCTTTTCCAGTCAAGTGGCCACCCCAGCTGCTCCTGCTCCTTGTAAATGCATGTATGGCCACTACCCCTACGTTAGAGACCTACATTTTTCTCTCTTCGAAGACATACAGTCCTCAAAATATGAGAATCGAACGCCGCCAGCAAGAAATCAGCTGTCTCTAGTCAGGAACCCCCTAGAGTAACTGCAGGTCCTCAGAGCAAGGCATACTGTAAGTACATGGGATCGAGTCGCTTTATCCAGAAATCCATTATAAGGTAACTTCGCCCGATGACGCGGGCTTATATATTACTCATGACCTGCAAGCTTCCAGAACGTTACGATGTCAAATTAATGCTCTTTATTCATACAGTTCAAGAAACGAAAGTTGGCTTTTCCTGAAGGCGACCTTGATGGGCCAGTTGTCGATCATCCTGGACCATCGTCTATAACGTATCAACCTCCTGCCCATGTTTAGCATCCGATACCACCTCAATTACCAAACCCAGCAGATTTTTGGTTGCAGTTATTGTTTGAGGAAGTGCCTGGCGGCCGGAGCGCCGAAAGATTCTCTTTCCTGGCATGACAATACCCACCCCAGAAGTTCCTCACCTACAAGTAATTACTGGGAAGTCCAAAGCGATAGTTCTGCGCAATAGACGGGAGACTTTTGTTCTGGGTGGGTCCTGAGGTATGTATTGTGATATCATATCTTACTAGTGCTGCAACATGGCCACGCATACCTGGGTGGCGACCTGCGACCTATACCCCAGCTTTCGTCGCTCTGACAACGGAAAGCGCGTGGATCCAAGGGAGTAACATATACAGGATTAGCTATGTGTCAGAATTCACTACTAGTTGATCAGAATGGTAAATAATGAGAATGCTGTACAGAGAAAGGGGCTTCTGGAGGAGAAGGGACAAAACTCAAAATAACGTGGTGGCGAAGCTCCCCACGTTCGAATGACGGCAAAGATCGAGACAGAAACCTGCGAACGGTACATAAAGTCTTTATGTGGATCGCGGCTCGGCCAACAAGCGAATTTTATGAAGGAAGTCATCACACTCGGCCACATCTTGCTCCAGATCAAGCTCGCCGTAAATTCTGGACGCTTCACGAACAAGACGCTCTGCCTCGTCATAATGGGCCTGTTTCCGGTGTAGCCAGGCGAGGTACCATATAACATTGGCTAAAGAACGCATGTCTCCAATCTGAGAATAGATTTGTTGAGCTTCCAAATATGAGCCTTCAGCCTTTGCACAATCTCCCAGAGCTGAGTGGATGCGCCCCAACATTTGAGTCGAACTGGCAACACCGAGCTGATTCCCGATTTGCGAGGAGATTTCACGGACTTGAATATACGCTTTTTCAGCGTTGGAATACTCGCTTCGGCTACGGTACACATCCCCCAAACCCTTGACTGATTGGGCGAAGCCAAGCTGATTCCCGATTTGGGAGTGAATATCGCGGGCTTGGGTGTACGATTCCTCGGCCTTCGAATACTCGTTGCCCATCTGGTACACGTTTCCCAAAGCATAGACCGAGTCCGCAAAGCAGAGCTGATCCCCGATTTGAGAGTAGATGTCACGGGCTTGGATGTACGATTCCTCCGCTTTGGAATACTCGTCTCGCATCTGGTACACGTCTCCCAAGCACTTGATCGAAAGGGCAAAGCCGAGCTGATCCCCGATTTGAGAGTAGATGTCACGGGCTTGGATGTACGATTCCTCCGCTTTGGAATACTCGTCTCGCATCTGGTACACGTCTCCCAAGCACTTGATCGAAAGGGCAAAGCCGAGCTGATCCCCGATTTGAGAGAAAATGTTGCGGGCTTGGCCGTATGATCCCTCAGCCTTTCCATATTCGGTTCGCATGCGGTACACGTCTCCCAATTGCATGACTGATTGGGCAAAACCTAACTGATTCCCGATTTGAGAGTAGGTGTTGCGGGCCTGGATGTACAATTCCTCCGCTTTCGAGTACTCGTCTCTCATGCGATACACATCTCCCAAACTCTTGACTGATTGAGCAAAGCCGAGCTGATTCCCGATTTGAGAGTAGATGTCGCGGGCTTGAATGTACGATTCCTCTGATTTGGAGTACTCATTTCGCACGCGGTACACTCCTCCCAGACTCTCGACCGAAAAGGCCAAGCCCTCCCGATTCCCGATTTCGGAGCAGATGTCCCGGGCTTGAGCGTACAATTCCTCGGCTTTTGAATACTCGTTTCGCATGCGATGCACCTCTCCCAATTGCATGACTGATTGCGCAATGCCTAACTGACTCCCCATTTGAGAGTAGATGTCGCGAGCTTGATTGTAAAATTCCTCGGCTTGTGAATACCCACTTCGCAGATAGCTTGCCTCTCCCAAACCTTGCAAGGCCCCGGCCTCGCTCAGGTCATCTCCAACTGACTTTGCGACTTCGAGGGATTGTTGGAAATACGTCCGTGCTTCAGGTATCATGTCGTTCCGCAGTTGAAGCTTGCCAAGGGCACATAGGAGTCTGCTGGAGCGAGTATTAAAAGCGCTCGCTTCTCTGCGCATGGGCACCGTGTGATCCTAAGACAATCCTTGTAAATATTGACCGAATACAAGAGAAAAGGCTCCCTACCATCCATGAGACTAGCTGTTGACATATAACAGCTGTTGGACGCTCGTCTGTAACTAATCTCCAACACTCTCCCATCAGGCTGCAAAGGGACTTAATTTGCTTGAGCTGATCATCGTTCTCAACGTTCGGAAGATCCGCTTCCATGATGCGAAGAATAACAGCGACATCCTCATTCTCCTTCTCGAATGGAAAGTTGCCTGTAACAGCCTGGACCAGTTGACAATCAGCTTGGACTCCATCTACGAGCTCTTCACAGAACCCGTTGACGCACCTCCCAACAAATCCATCCTAGTGCCCAAACGTCGCTCGCTAAACCAGGCATATTTCCTCTCAACAGTTCGGGGGCTGCCCATCGAACACTCCAACCCGGACCCGTCATGGTGACGAACTTGCCAGACGCAGCGACTTCCGCTTTTAGCGGCTCCATTGTCGGTGCTTGCGTCGCTGTTGGCTGTTGTACGTTCGTCGCGTTGACGGCGTGGGCATTTGTTGATACTTCCGTCGTTGAATCTACAGCACGAGCAGAGCCGAAGTCCGTAATGACCGCTCGGTTTTCCGAATTCACAAGAATGTTGAGCTGCGTTTCGGTGAACATTAGCTGAGGCCGGGAGAGTCTATCTATTCAACTTACGGATTTGAGATCACCGTGACAGATCGGCGGGCTCTTTTCATGGAGGTAACTCAGTCCCCCGAAAACATCTCCTATCTGGAGCTTCATAAGTGGAAGGAAAGGATTGGGATGGAAGGGTCGTGGTTACCAATGAAACTCGTTCTGGGAGCTCCCATTTTGCGGACCGAATGAACTCTCGTAAGTTGCCACTCCTTTCCCAGGAAAAGATCATCCAAGCGACGCCCTGTTCGATATGTTCGACGAAGCCAAT